GAGAGACAGGGTCGCATCACAGTGGAGTCAGCTGTCTTAACCGTGGCTTGTGTACTGCAAACACATACCAGCTTCATCACTGTCTGTCATGACTCTGTTCCCCTTTCGGGCTCTGTCTTTACGTTTATTTTGAAAGATGAAGCTCGCGTTTATGGTAAGGGGCGTTACATTTCCGACGCGTGCTTGTTGTGTTCGGCCAATCACAATGCACTGGTTCAGCTGGCCAATCAGAGCAGACTGCACTTGTCTGAAGGAGGGACTTTGTAGAAAACGAAGCGTTTGAGAGAGGCGGGGCATAGAGGACCTACAATAATGTACAGTATTTGAAAAATAATGTGTTTTTTGAACATTAAAGCATGTCAACATATTCTGTTACACCAAATACACAAAATAATGATGTTTAAAAAAGCATCATATGACCCCTTTAACACATTTGTAGAAAAACTTTAACTTTAACTTTTAAACATTCTAGCTTAACTATTCACAGGCTTTTGCCTGTCTGGTAAACAATGGGTTATATTTCTAACTTATAACCTATTTCTTATGTACAACTGCAGGTTTAAACCAGTAGGATCCGCACTAAAGTCAGGTCTTTAAGGGTTAAACTGATGACGCAGCTCTTAAACGAAAAAGTGAAGCTGTGTGTATCAATCAAGGGTCAGCTGTGAGGTTGGTTCACTTGTGGGACACAAAATATGAAGTGAAAGTATAAACATTAACCCTCATCTCACATGATGTGATTTACAAAAGCAGGACACGTTTCTGGAGCAACATTTGGTCAACCAATCATTGCCATAACTTTAACCCTTGATAGCCTCTTTACAAGACATACAATTTTGGAATGTTTGCTCATCACAAAAATTGCTTGACTTACAGATGGAGCTTATTCACATGTTTATGTGACATTTATGATTTAGTAAGCAAGTGAATACACTGTTTTTAAGATCTTTATCAGATGTTTGTACACAAATATGTTATTAAAATTGAACATAATACCTTCTAGACTAAAAATCAACCGAATGTTCAAGGATACCAAAAGATATTCAAATATTCATAGATTTCTACCTTACTAGAAAATAAAATTTATGACCAATTAATTATTAATTAAGAAGCAATAAATCTTTGATTAAACTAGTAAAGTGGTTCAAAGTGGTTGCCATCCCAAGAAACTGTATCTCAATATCTTTGCACGCAGAGGCACTTAACGCATACACACTCTGTTCTTTTTGTGTCATTTATTTAAAGTGCCCCTATTATGGGTTATGATATGAAAAGTTCATATTTTGGTTTTGGAAGTCCCCAACAACAGGTTGACATGCATGCAAGGTCAAAAAACACTTTCATTGTCTTATAATATGCATTTATTTTTACCTTACTTGCTCACGATTCGTTTAACGATTCATTTTTCCAAACCCCTCCTTTGCGTGACGATCAGTCTCATTTTCATTTCATCATGCCTGTAACGCCTGATAAAGCAATGTTTGTGAGCGCATTGCTGCTTTGTGTACAGCGTTACCGGGGAAACCGCTATTTTTACCGCTCCAAAAGCAGCATCTAGTGGCAAAGAATGAATTTGCATTTTCATTCAGACCAACACCAAAAGACCAACAAGTGGGCGGGCAATATGCTAATGTTTCATGTTGACACACAGACAGGCATCTGAGATCGGCTCGATTTGAGAAAGGGGTAAAGATTTGAGCAGATTAAAAAAAAAACACTGGGTGGATTTTTATCATTATAGGGTGGTTGTGTACACACACTGCCAACACACATTTCAGTTCAAACAACTTGTAAAAGTGCATGTAGCATCATATGACCCCTTTAATACACGGTGCACTTTCAGATTTAAAACTTGGCAGGATGTTTTCATTCACTTAGAGCTGTGTTACACACTGCATGAAAGGTAATTTTCAAAAATCCATAATAGGGGCACTTTAAGGATTGTCTTTTGGGAGTAATGTTAATGCTTTGAATATCCAGAATGTTTCATCTGACTTACATTGATTTTATGGACACATTCTTTGTGCTTTTTACATAAAACACAAAAATATGGACAACGCATGTTCCTGCATAAACTTGTGTTTGTTTATTGGAAGGTTTTATAAATGTAAATGCACCAAATGTAAACCCCATTTTATTGCCCTTAAGTAAGAACCAAATATGTATTAAGGTACAATCTCTATTCAGTCTATTAATAAGAAAGCAATCAAAACATCTAGAATATGACAATGTTTGACATACTTTCTTACATTTTTTTATCATCATTTGTGAACTCTTTGTTGTACACAAAACTGTATGTTATTTCTTCTTGTATGTATATCAGAATTGCATATTACTATTGCATATACCAGGAGGATCCTGCACTTTATGGATTTATTCATTTTAATGGGGAATTTGCATATGCGTGACAGTTAAACAGTTAAATCAAATGCGAAAGATGTATTATTTTGGCTTGGGGGTCATAGTGGTCTGACAGAAGGGACACACTCACCATAGGGGCGACCCTATATCCCTAAAGTCCCAGGGCAGTGATTGGTCAATAACAATGTTGTTCCAATCACTGGCCTCTGATTTTTCTTTAATAATAATTGGTTGACAGGCACATTACTCCAGGTCCGAAGTTCTCCTAACCCTAAAACCAGTAGTCAAGTGATTGCTTAAGAGGACTGATTTTCGAAATGAACCCTTGCACTGTGATTTTAGGTTAGTAATAGGGTTTGTTTAGGTTTAGAGTTGATAAGAACGTAGTTCCAGGTTAAGCAGAAGGTGCTGAGCAACATGTACTGCTAAACTAGTCGCGTCCCATGCATTTAACCTTGTTACATTATATAAACACAACAGCAACATAATGAGAACGGTAGATGCGCAGCTGCTGCACGGATGCGCGCGACAGCTGCGTAACTGCGCATCCGTGCAGACGAGGCGTTCAGAGATGTTTAGAAGAGCTCTGACCTGCTCGTCGAATCGGGTGATGACGGCCTGGACCCACTCCACGGGCTTCTGCGCCGCCATGGCCGCTCACGCCTGCACCTCCGCCGCTTATGATGATGATGAAGATGATGATGAAGTGGAGGAGGAGAGGACGCCTTTTCCGTGGTCTGCGACCCCTGCGCTCCTATATATATATATATATATATATAAACTAGATTCTATATTCTTTGGATGAAACTATATTATTATAATGCTCTGCCAATATTATAATCAATAGTCAAGCTTCTTGGACGTGAAATAATACTATAAAATTAATTAAAACTGATACTAAAATTCAGAGAGAGAGATTTATTATATTTTTATATTAATATTTATGCTTAGTTATTTTATTTGAATTATATTTTGTAAAGAAACAAAATTCTATATTCCTAATATAAAACTTAATTCTGTTAATATCATACAATATTATTCTTTAATGCTTTGCCAATATTGTAATTAATAGTCATGTCCATAAAATTTCTTGGACATAAAATTAATTGAGAGAGAAGAAAACTATGCTATAAAAACTGAAACTGAAACTAATATTCATATCTATACACAGTGAAACTAATATTCATGTATATATACTTTATGATAATAATGATTATTGAAATACATACTGTGGACATATTAGCTCTAAATATAACAATACCTCATGTGGAACTTTCTGAACAATGTTATTATATCACAATATTAAAAAAACGAATAATGTAACACATGAGGTTTGTGAATATCATTATGTTTAATCAGTTGTTTAATGTTAATAAGCAATGTTAAATAAGTAATGTTTTAATAGCCCTATGTCCAAGCAGGCTGTCTCTCTTGCATTTAGCTATTTTACAGTCACATGCTGTAAAGGAAATTAGATTTATGAATTTTGGGAAAGGCAGAGAGAGAGAGAGAGGGAGCAGAAGAAAGAGCAGCTTGTTGCAGGCAGTGTGAGGTGCTGTGTGAGTAAAACTCAAAAGAGATGCCTGAAACAGCATGGTCAACACAGAACAGTGAACACTCTCAGACACAGAGAAATTAGAAGCTGCCTCGAGACACAAAGAAAACCTTTGTGAGGAGCCCTGGAGCTCAAACCTCTGCAGGGGAAACAGTGAATGGACAGTTTCTCAAGAGTCTGCAGATGGTATTCACAAGAATATGGACTGCTGGCAGCATGATGCTGTGTTCACAGTGTTTTTGGCAGTTCATTTACTCTCTAATATTGAATGCTCTGATATAAAAATGCAAACTTCACTGTTTTTTTAATGATGGACCACATTCATCAATATAAAAAAAAAAAAAAAATCAAATAAAAACAAAAAAGCATTAATTATATTAAACAGCAGAGTTATATCTTCCATAGACAATGAGCAGCTTGCATCACTCAAGTGCTATATATAGTTCCCTGAAGTTTTGAATGCATGGTTAGTTACAGCTTTGAAAGAGGAAAATGCTTTTTAAAGATGTATCTAAGCTATTAGTATCAAGGGCCTCGCTGTGCTGGTGAAGTTGTGTGAACCTATGTATTGATACATCTGACACCTTTTCCAGTAATGGGTTGGACTTCCTGCAGTGAGACAGTGTAATACTGACCTCTGCGGGTCATTACAGGTATAACGACTGAGAGAAACCGAATTAAGTCATTATTCTGAACTCTTGTTTTTTTCACAATTGTACTCAATGAGAGGGATATTAGTTGTAATTACGGCCATGTACTTGGAATTCTGAGACAATTGTTGTATATTTGTCCAACATTCCGTGCAAAAATGTTCAGATTAGTGGTTAATACAGGTTTTTCAATTATTATTTGGTGACACCCCTCAGTCCGGAACATTAATTTAACGTAAGATGTTGAAACACACACTTGTGTACTTCAGGTTTAAGCATGTTCTGTGCAATATGAGAAAGAATTCAGACTGTAATATCATCATAAACATGTTTCATTCCATCTGACATCACTTCACAAATCTCTGCAAATCCCTGAGATCCTTTTAAAAAGTTTCTAACGTATACATTTGACCACAGTCACGTGACAAGCTCGATTTTATTGTCTTTCAAGGATGAGAACAAACATTGTATACAGTAGCCACATGCAATACAAAAATATGACTGTACATGACATGTATCGATCCATTCTAAAAAAGTTTTCCATGTTTTTTTTGTTTTGTTTTTTTACATGAAAAAATATAAAGAATATTTACATCTGGGATACCACAGCAGTATCTATTCAAAATGTCATGATGTACAGTATATATATATTTATTTATATTTATATAAAATGTCCATATAAATATTAAAAGAATTCTGTTCATTGACTGTACAATAAATAACCCATATTTATACATAAATATTTTACATTGTCATTGATATTTCCAAACCACAAAGTCCAGTCTTGCACAGAACAAACGAACACACACCCTTCCACAAACATACACAATGTTACAAACACGCACGTTACACACAAACACACATGAGAGTTCATGTTTACACAACTTATGGAACACTGTTCTGCTGGGTTCATCGAAATCTGGCTTTAATGCAAACGTTCAACATCTTCATCGTGGAAAATCAGGCCCTGTAGTCGGGTGAGAAGACGCACATGCTTCTCTTTGGCTCATTTTTGCAATCAGTACTCAGAAAGGGCCCTTATGTAACTCACACACCACATTTGGTTAGACCCTCGCAGCTCAATAAGTTTCCATCAAGAACATTATCATTAGTGAAACAAAACGTCTACTATCGGACACCATGGAGGAAGAGTGACAGCTAAAGGTGTGTTAGCATGAACCAGACGAGCCTATCAGAGACAGAATCAAGGCATGTCACACAGGACTAAGAGGCACCATGACCACAGGAGAGGGAGTGAGAGAGAGAAAGGTAACATCTTCATCGTAGTGTCATGGAGTCCTGCAAATCCAGCGGGAAAAATGCATCACGTGACGTCACGAACTGGAGCAGAAAGGGAGAACCAGTCGCACACTCTGAAAATCATAATAGGAATAAAAAAGGCAAAGCGTTTCGTTTTACGCATCGCCACAGCAGGCCCCCACCCACAGAACCAAAGAAAGGTAGAGACGGAAGAGCAGGCGATGTTAGTTTGTAAGTCCAGAAGAGGTCAGGCTTTCAGCAGGCATGCAAGGCAGAGCCAGGAATTGTGTTTTGCATTGATCATGTTTCAGGCACGCGGCTACAACCTACAACGACAAGAAATAACATTGACAAAACAGAAAGAGAAGCAGATTAGAGAGAGAAATGGTATATGTGTTTAAGTTGTATAATTGTATATTGTATATGTGTAGTATGTCGTTGTAGAAAATGTGGAAATTCTCATTACTAGCAAAGAATATAAAAATGTAATAAACAAAAAATATAATATTATATAAATAATAATAATAATAAGCAATTATTGTTATTATTATTTAAATATATGAATAATTATTATTATTGTTACTACTCATAAAAATCACAATTTATGATTAAATTATTTATTTGTTTTTTATTATTATTTATAAATTGTTATTATTTATTTATTTTTATTACTATTATTAAATTATGATTATGGCATTCTTTTTCCCATTTAAAAGTTCAACTATGTTGTTACAAGTGCTGACACTGCTCTTCTGAAGGTTAGACAGATGCTGCAGATAAAAATAACGACTGAACAAGATAAAAATACTCCCAAGGGAAGAGATGGCCAGACAGAAAGTAACCAAACAACAACATATGTGATGCATTGTGGTGTCTCTGAGGTCATCTTTGCCACCGTTTCTGCAGACTGTGCACTGTGTGCAGGTTTCTACAACCTGTTTGTCCTCTTTTCACAGTGTGCCAGATTCTAGGATACGTACTCTGCTGACTTCCAGAAGTGGCCAGGATGAGACAGGCGGCGGTTGAGTTTGGGCAGTTTCTCCAGCATGTCGGCCAGCTGCGTGAACGTGGGCCGATTACGAGCGTCATATGACCAGCAGGCGGACAGAATCTCCTGTAGGACAGACAGAAATCAAGCAGTCAGCACAAACATCTGACGTTTGGATGGTTTTTACAAGGATATCTTCTAGTTCTAATATATCTCATTTTGGCCAAATTATAAGGTAGCACTCCAGAGTGTTTTGTGTTTCTCCTAAACACAGCTTCTACAGTACTAAACCATGAAATTAAATAGAAATAATTTAGACTTAGAAATTCATACGTTTATTTTCACATTATTTACAAATGGCTAGCAAGATATACAAATAATTACATTGAATTGTGACACACTAATTATGATCTATTTTTATGTTCTTTCTCTATATTTCTGTTATTTCTAAATTATACAATTCTTTCATTTGTATTGCCAGTTATTCACTGTATTAATTACAGTTTTTCACTGTGTTAATCTAATTAATTGTATTAATCTGACTGATCGAATGTCCTTGAGCTACGGAAAAGCACAAGATAAATAAACAATAATATTAATAATTAACAATAATAAATAATGAAATGATGTTATTAATAATAATTTTTAGTATTAATATTATTTTTGTTATTACACAATGTTATTATTAAATATATTTATAATAATAATAATAATAATAATATGTATTATTATAATTATTATTAAAAATGTCCAATATAGTCTAGCTGTTACATGACCTTCTTTTCACCTTGGCATCGTAAGTGGAGTAGAGTAGCATAATTTCACACTGCCATTCGACTGAGCCTGTGTCAAATAATAAATAGACTTAAAATGTGGCACTCACCGTGACCTCTTTTCCCAAGTTTATCTCTGCCAGGACCCTCCTGATGCCCTCTCCACTGCCCACCTGCCAGATGGTGGCCTCTACGGGCTGACTGGTGATGGGCCAGTCTCTCGCCTGCAGCTCGTACCAGATGGTGCTGAAAAAGAGCAGATAAAGGCAGCAGGTCAACGCAGCTCTATTTGGGGGTGAATTATTTGTCAAGTATATTTCTCACCCAAAGGCATAAACATCAGCAGCATTCGAAAACGGAAGTCTGTCCTCGTTGTTTCCCGGGCTCATTTTACGCACGATTTCTGGAGCCAAATAACAGATCCACCCGTGAGGAAGTTTCAGCTCGTTTTCACGTCTAAAAAAAAGAACAGATCCGGCAATTGACTGGTTCACGGTAACAATCCACGTAATCAAGAGTAATGCAGTGACTTACCGGCCCTCCTGAACCACTCCAGAGATCCCGAAAAGGCCAAAGTCAGTGATGATTACTTTGTTTGTGTCATGAAAGACATTTTTCGATTTAAGGTCCTTGTGAACGATGCCCTTAGCATGAAGGTAACCCATTCCCTGAAATACAGGAAACACAAGCAGGACTTGAATCATAAACAGCCACACATATACATAACACATCCACCAATGAACCCTTTTCACAGACTTTGACGACGCCTTTTTGCAGTTATTAACAGTTATTTAAACAGTAATATTGTGAAATAGTATTACAATTTAAAATAATAGTTTTCAATTTCAATATATTTCAAAATAAGTTGTTTTAATCCTGTGATGGCAAAGCTTAATATTTAGCAGCCATTAGTCTTCAGTGTCACATGATCCTTCAGAAAAATCATTCTAACATGCTGATTTGGTGCTCAAGAATCATTTCTTATCATCAGTGTTTAAAACTACACTACCATTCAAAAGTTTGGGGTAAGATAAAAAAAAAAAAAAAAAGATATTAATAATTTTATTCAGCAAGGACACATTAAACTGATCAAAAGTGTCAGTAAAGAAATTTCTAATGTTACAAAAGATTTTTGTCAAATAAATTTTGTTCTTTTGAACTTCGATTAATCAAAGAATCCACAAAATATGGTTTGCACAAAACATTAAGCAGCAAAACATTGATAATAATAAGAACCATTATTAATAACTGAGCATTAATAATAATTGAGACTGATTTCTGAAGGATCATGTGACATCTTTCTGTCTTCTGACCAACGTAATCAATATTTTTTTCCTCTTTTGTAAAGTCATAGTAACACTAAAAGACCATTTTTTCTTTTGCTATCGGAGCAAATGGGAAAGCAAAAATTATATTTGTTGTAGTTTCCATTCACCACCACACAAGCTTTCCCAACTATGACAACTTCTGTTTCTGAGAACCCCAGAAACATGAAAAGGCTCCATAAACACTACCTTGACAATCTCCTGCGCGATCTGCCGAGTCTTATTGATGTCCAGAGTGTTTTTCGTGTCCCTCACGACAGAATACAACGTCCGGCCTTTGCAGAAGCTGTGAGGAAATTAAAGATGTGCTTGTCAGTGACCATCTGTTGATCAGCTGACGGACTCAGATGTTTGAAACTTTACCTGGTAATGATGGCGAGATGAGGCGGGGCCATGCAAGCTCCCATGAAGAGGACCACGTTCTCGTGGCGCGTCTGTCTGTAGTTCATCACCTCCTTCTTGAAGAGCTTCAGGTGGTCCTGGTTGTTTCCGTCGATCTCAAGGAGTCGGATTGCCACCTCTCCGTGCCAGCGGCCGTGATGAACCCGACCCCAGCGACCCTTCCCGATGAGCTCGCCGAGATCCAGCTGCTCGAAGGGAATGTCCCACTCCTGCAGGTAGACGCTGGTCTGGCTGGCCTTACGAGAGATGGGACCTTTCCAGTGGGTTCCTCCTCGCGTGCTGGGCAGGTCGTCCAGCTCGTCTCCTTCACACTCTCCTTCTGAGCCATGGTTCAGCTCTTCCATATGCTCCTCCTCTTCATCTTCCTCCTCCACTGCTACATCCTCTTCCTCCTCTGCTTCTATGTCCTCTTCTTCTTCTTCCTCTAGTTCCTAGGCGAGATGAACCGAGCAGGGTTGGAAGTGCTACTTAAGGCTAGAATACACTACACAACCTCCGAATAAATTTCTAATAATAAATTCCTGTCACACGCTTGCTGACTTTCTAAATGATTACAGAGAAAAACGGTGCCCATCATGCATTGTGTATTCCAGCTTTAAATCTCAGTTCCACAAGCATCTCACCTCTCTGTCATCTTCCTCGTATTGTTCCGCGTGCATCTCCTCAACTGATGGATCGATCTCGTTACTGTGTGTGAAGTTCAACATTTAGCCGTCACTATGACTGAATGCAGAACATGCAGCAGAATATTTATGCTTCTAAGCAGTAATTTAACAGTTCCTTACACAGTGTCTGGGAGTCCATCTGAATGAAGGATGCTGGGACTGCACACGTCTGTGAAAGATAAGAAAATATTGACCAACTTATCACATTTGAAAGAAAAAAAATTCACTGACTCTGGAAACATGTTATTTCTATCTGTACCGATACAGAATTACTGATATTATTATTGCTTAATGTAACATGCAGTGCCAAAAATCACCAGCAGGGTGCAGCTCATCTCACAAGAATTAACTACTCTTGTGCAAAACCAAACCCCAGCATGCAAAACACTTTACTTTAGGCATTGCTCAGACTTGTACATTTGTAAAAGTCAGTTCAGTTCAATGCAGACTGGACAAAAAGACATGCTGGAGACTATGCTAGTCTAGTAATTTTATGGCTGAAAATCTGCTGCATTTCATTGTTATATACAAGGAATCCATAAAATTATGGAAAAAAACCATCTTGCTAAAAGGTTTGAGGTACTTTATAGTTCTTATACCTGTAAATGTGTATTATATTATTTAATATATTTAATATATAATATTAATATTTTAAATTAGCTTTTATTTGTATATTTTCAGTTATAATTTTTATGTTAGTTTACATTTTAGTAAACTGTGCCTTTGTCATTTTTATTAGATTTTTCATAATTCTGTTTAGTTATATATTTTTAACTAACTTTTTTTATCTAGTTGTCAAGGCAACATTTTAACTGTCATATTCATATTTAATTTTCATTTTGTATTTTTTTGTGTCTGTATATGTTTTTTTATTTCAACTTTATTTCAATTAACAAAAAAATGTTTTTAATAGTTTTAGTTTTAGTTAACAATACTAGTGTTTTTGTAATTAAAAAAAATAACTCCAAAACTGTAGCTAATTAATTCAACTAATATTGGGCAAAATGGCTTAACTATATCACTCCAACTACTACTCCTTTTTTATTTTTGTCCTTTTTGTATAATTTAATTTATCTAAAGTTATTTGAATATGCTTTTACTAACAGAAATGTTATTAAAATAAAAAGAAAAGACAGTGGTCTTTTCTGTTCACCACCACTGTGCAAGACTGAATATATGCCTGATTATAGCACTAGCACTTTATATATTATATGAAATAACAATGCATTTATATATTATGATAAATTTATTTATCTGATCACCATTTAATGAATAATTCACTCAGATAGTGCAACTGTTTATTGCATTTGTCCCACTGAATCCTGGATGTCATTATGAGGGCTGAAGAACATTACAGACTTTGTGTTTGTTAACTCACCAGGGAAGATGAACTGCTGTCGGTGCTGAAAATAACAGGCAGCTTTGCCACATTGAAGGAAGACAGGAAGAGAGGAAGACAGGCAGGAAGCAGACAGAGAGACAGGGTTAGAGGCAAAGTCTCATTATGCCTTATGTTGAGTTAGAGTGTTACATACAGATAAAGAGTCCTGAATATCAGCATTCTTTTTACCCGGGATTAATGCAGATGTGTGTGTTTTGTATTAATCGGGGTAGTATTTGTTAATGTGCTAGTTTATTGCAGTGTCAGTGTTTACAGGCGCTTACCTGGAAAGTGGAAGCGGTTGTCACGGTGACCCTTTGGGGAGGGGTTTGGGGGCGGGGTTACACTTGGAGGGTTGCTCTGCTGGAAGGGGGCGGGAGAGGAAGGCGTAGAGGAAGTGGTTGAGGATGGATTACTGCTAGAGTCCAGCTGATTCAGCGCCGGCGGTTGATCCTGCCGAAAATTAACCATGTTGATGCTGCAGAACTGCTTTTAATGCACTATTACAATAATAATTAATCAAGACTCTGGCTACGTTCAGTATGGAATACTAGTGTACTGCACACTGTGGAGGTTACTGACTATCGCATGCTATTAAAAAAATGACGTGATGTGCATAAGCTGGAAAAAATATATACTGCATACTACAAAAACAGGACAAGATGTATACTAATATATCATTCTGTCACACAGGAATCAGTACCTTCCTTGTTATTGCCTTCGGTAGTGTCCCAAACTGCGAGTGATAGCAGGAGTATTTGAGTGTGTAGAGCGCAGGTGAGAGCTTCCTCTTCACTCTGAGAGGTTGAACTGTGACCTCAGTCTGATCAGCATTCAGCAGGCACTTCACTGCAGTCTGGTCTATTTGAACTAAAGATCTGCTCAGTCAAGAACCGCGCATGCTTTTGAAACGGTGTTATTGTGCTGTTGAACTCACTCCTCAGGCCGATGTGCTCCTCCTGTAGTGTGGGAGTGCCTGGCAAAGTGTACGGGGCCGTGGCGGGTGCTGCCCCAGGGGTCCGTGCGGAGAGAGTGGGCGAGCGCGATGGAGAGTCCTCACAACCGTTCCCATTAATCTGGACGTTCAGAAACAGCTTGTTTTTCTTCACACACCTAAGAACAATGCAAGACAGTCAGTGTAACCTCATAGGGATCACAAAGAGTGGTGACCAACCAATATACCCATCAGGCCAATTATTCAGCTAATATAATCTGGCTAATATCTGGCTAATATGGGATTAATCGTACAAGTCTAGCCTGCATGCTAAATTTTTAATAAAGCATGGACATGCACGTTTCCTGTTTTAAAAAATATTTTTGTCAATTTGGAGGAAACAATGTGTAAATTAAACATTTATTGAATTATCAAACTTATTTACATTAAAATAAAATTAAATTAAAAACATTAAACTTATTTACATTATTTACTAATAGACAAAGAATACTATATTTTATTATCTCTCTTTATATTAGTGAATAATATAACATAATAAATATAAGATAATATAACATAACATAACATAACATGATATATAGAAATAGTTTATAAATAGTTGATTCCATGAATGCTGAGCACTTGATTTCCATCACTATGTAGACCAACTCAACCATTTAGTACAATTAATAATTACATTTAGTACAATTAATAATTAATTACATTAAAATTAATTAATTAATACAATGGTTAATAAAGGAATTCATATGTATATAACATAATATAACATAACATAACATAACATAACATAACATAATATAATATAATATAATAATGATATATAGTGTGTATGCTGAACACTTGCTGGCTGATTTACATCACTATGTAGTCCAAGTCAATCATTTAGTACAATTTATATTATTACTATATTACAAAGGAATTCATATGTAGGCATAATTTATTTATTACTATTTATTATTATTATTACTTTTAAGGCCTAAGCTGTCAGATAAAAAGGTTTAAGGCACATTTTAGTCAAGTGTGTCTGAAACTTTTGACTAATATATTGGACTCTAAATGTCAGAATCAGCGGTTGAAAAGCCCATCTCGGGCAAACAAAAATGTAATGAAACAGCCGGCAAAAATAGTGTCGTTATTCTGTGGTCACATTGTTGGCATTAGTGGTCTTGACATCATCACAGATTGCTATTAGTCACTGCATAGGAACAGGCATGACTTATGAAAAACACAGACAATGACTCTATTGATAATTCAAATGATTTAACCCTATAAAGCCTGACATTTTAGAAATGGAAATCTATTGGACCTTTAGAAAAAATCGTAGGCCTTAGAAATGTGCATATCAAATATAATACACATACAGGACTTTACACAACAAGGACACAACAAGGCTTAAGTACTTTTACAAAGTACTTTATGATGCCCCTACTTGTAGTAGGATTGTGCTTCACTTCCTCAAGACCTACTTGTTTGTGGGTGTATCTTCGATGCGGTGGCCGAGCTGACTCTCGTGGCTCTTGCTGCGGGTCATCGTGATATTGGGGAGGAGGTGCAGAACTTTGCGGGACGGTGGAGGAGGTGTGCAGGGAGGCTTGAGGCGGTGTCTCCTCCGGGAGGGCGGGGTTATGGGTGGGGTCGAGGTGTGTCCATGGAGTCTGATGGGACGGGAGGTGTAATACGGGCTGGGGTCGGTCAGACTCTCTGCGTAGCCGTGGTAAATGTGAGCTTCGCCGGATGACAGGATGTAGCGGGGGTACGGGCAGGTGGTGAGGGGTGTGGAGGGCGTGCTCATGGGCCGAGCCAGAGGGGAAGGGCTGTGGGGGCGCAGGGAACCTCCTAGTAACGGAATCTGGTCCACTGGAGTCAAGCCGCCACTGTCACGCCTCATGGGCTCGGAGAACCAACAACCGCTGTCCTCTTTAAACTCCCCTGAAGGTCATAAAATCACAGTCAATTCAGAAGAAATCTAGTATTGAGATAACAAGTGAGTGAATCTCAGGGAAAGAGCACCCACCTGACTCAGAGGCACTCTTTAAACAGCTGAGGGCAGCACATAGCCTGGTGCAGTCCTCTGAACTGGAGCCCAGCCGTCGCATGGTTTCCTTCACCTGAGTGCCGGGCATCTGCAGCAGAGCATCCAATGACAGCTTCACGTTCACTGCCTGATAAAAGCCAGAGAGAGAATGACAATGAAACACTCTTAAAGACATCAGCAAGATGCCGACATGTCCTAGTTAGAGGGTTATTTCTGTGATTTAGGGTCAGATACAACAGGACACACTCACCCCAATCAGTGCATTCTCTTATGAATAAAGCTCTTCAAATTCCCAGGACACATGACCTCTTAGACTAATTAATCTGATTCCCTAATTACAAACCTGTGTGATTGATTTGAAGTGAGTGGCTTGTGACATTGAACTGATATTAATATCATATTATTCCAGAATTACTCTCACAGTCATACTGTAAATACGTGGTAAATCTCCCAAACTGATTTGTTTTTTGGGCTTTATAACATGTTTAATGCCATTCATGATGGAGAGAGCACAGGATATGATGTGGAGGAGAGTGAGAAAAGCAATTATATAATGAAACAAAAGCCAGAATGCATTACAGCTAAATGTCTTAATCATGCTAACGGCTCATGTATGCTAACTGCTAGGCCACAATTCTGATATTGATGCTGTATCGGGCACTGGCAGACATTCCAGGAACCTTCTTGTTTCTAATTTCATTTAGTATGATGTGAAAACAGGAAAATTCTCCAGCATCTGGACTGTTGACATGTATGTGACATACCTGTACAGTATCATACCACACATATGCAACTAATCTAGCTGAGCGGAATAAAATGAGGAAAGTCCACTGCTGTCCGTGAGAATGGATGCTATGTAATGTAGGAGTAGAACAGTGTCAGAGACAGAGAGAGAGCGAGAGAGAGGCTGACTCCGCATGTTGGGTAATTAGAGTTGGTGTATCTCGGGTCTGCTGGGAATGTGGCTATGGCCAAACCGCCAAAACACAGCAGATTTTCTAATTCCTCAGCTTTACTCAAGGATATTGAACTACAAAGCATAAAACACACACAAAAACATATCCTCGCTCACACACTCAAATGAACACTCAATACTATGTTTTTGTAAGCGAATTTCTAAGAGGATTTGAGTCCTGCCTCACACATTCCTACAGGATGATCTGACATTGTTTATTTGGACACCTGGTTATGATCTTTTGTGGTAATATTTAATATATAAGATAGTGGCAGCACTGTCTTGGTTTTATGTACATAAACTTTACATAAAAACAAGGCCATAACCTTCCAAACAATCCTAACATTTGGGCAAATAAAAATCTGTAGATTACATACAAATAAATATTATTATATTTTAAAATATAATATTATACATAAATATTCTTTACGAAAAATCTAGCATTTATTTTATTAATATAAGTCAAATTTGCTAAATTTATTAATTTAATGTATTAATTCAATTTAATGAAATGTATGAATTAAAATTATTAATTTATTATTATATTTGTAATTTATATTAGTATATTTTTATATAATTATAATTATTATTATTATATATATATATATTTATTGATTACATTTTTTATATCAAAATGTATAAAAAAAATGTTTTAAACAAAACTTTTTTGGTGTGAAATATGATACGGACAAATATGACCATTGATTGGCTTGTGAGAATCAAGTTGTTACATTCATAATTTGATTTTCTAGTAATCAACAACACACACGTTAGATCCCATTATATAAACACATAATATACCGTATTGGCCCGAATATAAGACGACCGCGTTTTTTCAGATGTATTTCCAAGAAAAAAACATCGTCTTATATTCGGGACAATACGGTACATTATCAAAGTAATGAATATTTACATGACAATCTCAAAAAACACCAGATACGAATTTAGTTGAAAACATATAAAATATATTACTTTTTATCATTATTTATTACTTTTTTACTTAAAATGTTTTCAATTTATTATTTGATTTTGGTGTGAAATATTATACAGACAAATATGACTACTGATTGGCTTTCTGAAAGTCACCTTGCTACATTGATAAATTGCATTTTTGTGTGTTAAAAACAGATGACATTATCAAAGTATTGAATATTTACAGGCATTAAAACCACCTAGTATGAATTTAGTGGGAAAGATACATAATTATTTCCTCCTATCCAAAAAACACACAAACATTACCTCTATGAGCTCAGGTCTGACGTTGATGGTGCGTAACCAGTCCTCCAGCCGTGGGTAGCTGTTCAGGGCTGGCGGCCTTTCTGTGTCTGGCACCTTCTGCTTACACTGCAGCTGTTTACAGATGTACTTCATGAGCTTGACCTGCAGGGGGCAGCAGAGCACAAAGCAGATGAGGGAGGGGCTGTCGGGGGGGCGGGGTCTGTAAGAGGCCTTTTTTGCCTCTGCGGGGAAAGGACAATTTCACATACAGCTCAGATTTTTGAAGACAGAAAACTGTTACATGAACATGACGGACGTCACAAAGGACACCAAGATATGCACATAGACTCAGTTCAACTTAGATTTAATTGCAGGCCCCAATGACGTGGGTGTGAAATCTCAAAGAATTGTAGAGGTCAATACTCGATAAGATTAGGAACCAATTAGGAAATGGCTTAGTCCATCTGGCAAAAAAGTTCTTCTATAGCATGTTATTGAAAGACCATTTTATTGTTGCTTTGTTACCGGTTTTACTCATGTATTATTGTTAATGTATTCATGAACTTTAGTGTTTGTTTCTAGTGTATCTCCACAGACACTTATATATAAGTTTACATACATATTTTAATCTGGCTTTTTCTAAAATTTTGTGAAAATTAAATTGGTAAGAGTTTTTTCGCCTTCTCCTGCACTGTATTTCAACTGTATTTTCTTGGATATGTGTGTGTGTGTTTTATTGTATATATTTTATATTGTGCCAAAAAATAATGTCAATACATACATACATACATATACGTATATATATATACACGTATATATATATATATATATATATATATATATATATATATATAAAAACACACATTATTTGTATAGTGCAAAAAAAAATAAAAAAACAATGCATTTTCTTTCAGGATGGCAGTGTCATTCTGGAATATAATTTAATCAAAGTCATAAATCCGTCAAAATCAGCACCGATCCAAAGCTTTGCATTACTGCAGTGTCTCTCATCAGCCAGATTTCAGCATCAGTCGCCATTAAATCACAGCACCTGCAGGTCTGATAAATAACACAGCATCAGAGCACACGCAGTTTGAAATCTGACTGGATTTTCTCTCCTTTTCTATTTTTGTGCTCCCCTTCAGCAAACAGGGCTGTCAGCTATAAATAACTGTTATTATATGGAAGGGAGCTGCAGCCCTCCTCATGGGGGTGACTGCACTGCTGGCATGGCAACCGAGTGTCATCGGAACACTGCGCTGACGGTGGGAGCGTTCTGACATCACAGCTCCACGAGACGCAGAGTTCACACGGAGGCTAAGACGGCAGTCCTTCTCGTCGAGCGTGGCCGTCGCCGTCTGCTTCCAGCTGCACAGGGCTGCAGGATTTTTCCCCATTCTGGCCTGTTCTGGATAATAAACACGCTCCCAAATCTTTCACAAACAAAGCTTGCTGGCTTACGCAGGAGGAATTTTCCAGCTCGTGCAGAATGCTGACCCACCTCAAATTCACCGATACACTCAAAAAACCACACCTATTCCCTCGTTCTCCCTATAACCAGCTTCCTGGATGGGCCGCACGGACACCTCAGCAGAACAGAAACGCTGATTACGCAGTGTGACAGAAAGAAGAAAAGGGGGGAAAATAGTGGGATAGAGAGAGAGAGAACGAGGGGATAGGGTGAGAGGAGGGCTCACCTGCTGTGACAGTTCAGGTCAGCAGCTCACTGACGCACAGAGGTCCGTTACCATGAGGCCGACGGCCATAAAACGAGTCATCCTTTCACACTTCCCCCTCCGCCGCCCCCCATCCCACTGCTGCCGCCTGCAATCACTGCTTTAATGAGAACAGCACGCTTATACATGCGTTAAACAGCAGCGGCCAGACACACTTCATCCCTCTATCATCATTACCAGGCCCAATAACATATACACAGAATACATAAACTCATCCCCGCATAATCAAACTGATGTGTATATACTTACCTGCATGTTCAAACTGACCTGTGTATTTTCAAACTGATGCCACAATCATATTCCGATAGATTTTTATACATTTAATCTGACATACATATTATATGTGAAATGATCCACAAATGCAGTCTTTTTTTTTTTTTTTACATACTGAATACTGATCCCTGCGTACTACTTAAACTCAAACTTATTCTCGCACTCACTAATCACAATAAACTCAAACTTAGTCGAACTGATCTTTATTTAAAATCATGCCCACATACTTAAAATGATCCCTGCATGCTCAGACTGATCACTCAATACAAAAAACAATCATTATATACTTTAAATGATGCCCACACACTTAAACTGATCCCTGCATACTTAGACTAATTACTCAAACCAATTATTATACTTAAAATTAGGGCTGCACGATTATGACAAAAATCATAATTGTCCATTATTCCCTTGAAATTGTAATTGTGATTATTAATTACAATTATCACAATTTACACTGAATGATGTTTATACCATAGTTTGAAGCAACTGCATGCAGAGCTGATCCTCCCTATACGCAAAATACGCAAGCTGCATAGGGCCCCCGAAACACCAGGGGGCCTTCTTGCTCTCAAAGATGAATTAATTTTAGTTTCGTTTTTGAATTTGGCCAGCAGTTATGAAAACATGAATGATAATTTATTTTAATGCGGTGAGCTGTCACCCTTTCTACATAAAAATCTGTCAAATCATGTAATGTGAACGTCGTACAGTCTTGCTCGAGACTAAAAAAACTAGTTGAAAAAGCGTACTGAGCCGCGGAAGAGACACTGTTTGTGAAGCGCTTTCCGCGAGCGCGATTCGAGACGGAGTGAAACACGGACAAATGTGTTTCATTCATTCGTTCATAACCACTGTCGTACAGTCTTGCTCGAAACAAAAAAAAAGGAGTTGAAAGCGTACCGAGCCGAGGAAGAGACACTGTTTCTCAAGCGCTTTCCATGAGCACGATTCGAGACGGAGTGAAACACGGACAAATGTGTTTCATTCATTCGTTCATAACCACTCATAACCCAGAAAAAACACAAGCACTAAGAAAAACATAAGTGGACTTTGAACGATTAATTGCCGCTTTGAACGATTATGTAATTGTGGCATCAGTAATTGTAATTGGGATTAGAAATTTGATTAATTGTGCAGCCCTACTTAAAATTATGCCTACACAAAAATCATAATTGTCCATTATTCCCTTGAAATTGTAATTGTGATTATTAATTACAATTATCACAATTTACACTGAATGATGTTTATACCATAGTTTGAAGCAACTGCATGCAGAGCTGATCCTCCCTATACGCAAAATACGCAAGCTGCATAGGGCCCCCGAAACACCAGGGGGCCTTCTTGCTCTCAAAGATGAATTAATTTTAGTTTCGTTTTTGAATTTGGCCAGCAGTTATGAAAACATGAATGATAATTTATTTTAATGCGGTGAGCTGTCACCCTTTCTACATAAAAATCTGTCAAATCATGTAATGTGAACGTCGTACAGTCTTGCTCGAGACTAAAAAAACTAGTTGAAAAAGCGTACTGAGCCGCGGAAGAGACACTGTTTGTGAAGCGCTTTCCGCGAGCGCGATTCGAGACGGAGTGAAACACGGACAAATGTGTTTCATTCATTCGTTCATAACCACTCATA